CCCGCCTCTGCGCCCGCCCTCCTGGCACGGCCCGTCACACGGGGAGCCTGAGCGTGCTCGCCAGCCGCGCCCCCGCAGCCCTGGCCTCGGCCACGGGGAGCAGCCCCAGCCACCTCCCCGGGTCACTGGTGTCAGCCCCGCTTTGGGGTTGGGACACCCTTTCTGCCAGGCCTTGTACACACAGGCCGTGTCGACACTGGGCCACTTAGTCCCGAAAATCAGCCGCTTTTCCGGAATACGCTGCGAGCTGTCTACACTGGCCCCTTGAATTTCCGGAAAAGCACTGACGCTCTACTGTACGAAATCAGCTGCTTTTCCGGAAAAACTATTCTGCTCCCGCTCGGGCATAAGTCCTTATTCCGGAACACTGTTCGGGAAAAGGGCCAGTGTAGACAGCCCAGTAGTCTTTTCCGGAAAAAAGCCCCGATGGCGAAAATGGCGAGCGGGGCTCTTTTCCGGAAAAGCACGTCTACATTGGCCACAGATGCTTTTCCGGAAAAAGGGCTTTTCCGGAAAAGCAGCCTGCCAATGGAGACGCTCCTTTTCCGGAAAAACTGAAAACGGAATAGTATTCCGTTTTAAGCAGTTCCGGAAATTCATGCCAGTGTAGACACAGCCTAAGGGTGCATCTATACTGCACCCTTATCTCAAAATAAGCTCCGCAGTTTGTGCGACGCAAATGGCATAGCTTATTTCGAGGTACATTCAAAATAGCTTTTTTCAAAATTTGGTGCTGTCTTTATAGCATCACCTTTTGAAATAAATCGCTATTCGGAAATGCCCCTTAACCCTCATGGAACGAGGATTACCAAGACGTCAGAATAAGCCTCCTGATATTTTGAAAACTATTTCAAAATTGTTTTTAAAACTATTTCAAAATAACAGGCTGCTTCAATAGACACAGAATAGCTATTTTGGGATACTTCTGGTATCCCAAAATAGCTCCGCAGTGTAGATGGACTCTGAGGGTATGTCTACACTACCCTCCTAGTTCGAACTAGGAGGGTAATGTAGGCATACCGCACTTGCAAATGAAGCCCGGGATTTGAATTTCCCGGGCTTCATTTGCATAAGTGGGGAGCCGCCATTTTTAAATCCCTGCTCGTTCGAACCCCGTGCCGCGTGGCTACATGCGGCACGGGGTTCGAACGAGCAGGGATTTAAAAATGGCGGCGCCCAGTTTATGCAAATGAAACCCGGGAAATTGAAATCCCGGGCTTCATTTGCAAGTGCGGTATGCCTACATTACCCCGCTAGTTCGAACTAGCGGGGTAGTGTAGACATACCCCTAGCTACACCAATGGGGGAGAGGTCTCCTGATGGCATAATTAAACCACCCCTAACTTGCTACGTCTGGGCGGAGAGCATCTCCTCCTATCCATACCAGCTCTTTAGTTGGTGAAATACTTCCTGTCTGGATGTTTTTATCATACCTAAACTGGAAAAAAAGTTTTACCAACAAAAGTGCTAATCATAGAATCATAGAATAATAGGACTGGAAGGGACCTCGAGAGGTCATCGTGTCCAGCCCCCCGCCCTCAAGGCAGGATCAAGCTCCGTCTACACCATCCCTGACAGATGTCTATCTAACCTGTTCTTAAATATCTCCAGAGAGGGAGATTCCACCACCTCCCTTGGCAATTTATTGCAATATTTGACCACCCTGACGGTTAGGAATTTTTTCCTAATGTCCAATCTAAACCTCCCTTGCTGCACTTTAAGCCCATTACTCCTTGTCCTGTCCTCAGAAACCAAGAGGAACAAATTTTCTCCTTCCTCTTTGTGACACCCTTTTAGATATTTGAAAACCGCTCTCATGTCCCCCCTTAATCTTCTTTTTTCCAAGCTAAACAAGCCCAGTTCATGAAGCCTGGCTTCATAGGTCATGTTCTCTAGACCTTTAATCATTCTTGTCGCTCTTCTCTGTACCCTTTCCAATTTCTCCACATCTTTCTTGAAATGTGGCGCCCAGAACTGGACACAGTACTCCAGCTGAGGCCTAACTAGTGCAGAGTAGAGCGGCAGAATGACTTCACGAGTTTTGCTTACAACACACCTGTTGATACCAACACACCTGTTGGTACAGTTTAGACGTACCCTAACAGATAGAACAGGAGGTAAAATATGATTTAATCAGGAATGCACATTACTTTTTGTCTGAGTTTCATTCCCAAACATTACTCATAAATTACACCACTTAGAATTCACAAGTGGGTCATTATTGGAATCTTAGATGTTTCCAACAAGATATTTTCAGTAGGAAAAGTTACATTTTTGTATGACTTTACAGCGAAACAGTAGCTCCTCAGAAGGCAATAGCAATTCTTGATTGGTAAGACACACCTGGCAAAAAGTGTTGCCCCTTACACAAAAACAGAGGAAGGGAAAAGCTGTTTGACTTGGCATGTAATTGGGTAGTCAATTAACCGATAAGCAAAAGCTTACAGGTTAATGCTGTAGATTACACGCATTTCCTCCCCCCCTTTGCCAGTAAATTTTTAGCAGGCGGGCCAGCAGCCCAACTCATTTATGGCTCTCGCAAGGTTTAGGGCCTATCCCTGCTGCAGTTCTGCATTTAAAGTGGCTCAGTTCCGGCTTGTGCGGGGTCTGGGAGTGGGGATAGAGTGCACTGGCTGCCGGCCTCGTCCCTGGGGACTATAGAATAGTCAACTAACCGATAAGAATTTATGAGGTTAATCGACTATTCGGTTAATTAATATTTTACATCCCTAGTTTGTATGTGACAGATGTCAGAGAAGTGTGCCAGAAACTGTGTTCTACATTATCAGCAGCTCAGGGCCAGAGGATGCAATTTCTGAGGGAATCCATCAAAATGCATCAGAAATTATCTCTAATGCCTGGAATATAGTTGAGAATAAACTGGGAGAGGGTGAACTGCCCATCCATAAGAAACTATATCACCTCAACTAGGACCTGAGGAAATAGGAAAGCCAGATGTAACATGCAATTCTGACAGTGTTCCCTGTGTCAAAATTGAATCCCCTGAATCAGGGCAGAGCAGGCTGTCTTTTTTTTTAATGAGGGTGAAAAACCAAAATGTATAACCAGAGGCAAAATCTGGTTAATATTCTTATTCAGACGCTATGCTTGTCCTCTGCACTTGCCAACCCTGAGCACCCAACTCAGTGGCCCCTGTGGTGTTTACGTCACCCCTGACCATTCTTCAAATCTCTCTCCCACACTGAGTCTTCAACCCAACAGGGTTGGGCAATAACAATCTGCCCTCTCCTTCCCACTCACCGCTTGGTGGTGGCCTCCCCCACATCTTTACTCTTCAGGGTTGCAAAGTTCCTCAAATGTTACGGAGAATAAACATTTTCTGGGAAGGGAAGTACCCTTGTCATCTAGCACGGCAGGTCCAGGGAACAACTGCCTTCCTTATCTCCCTTCCAAGCATAGGCTCATCCTTTGGGGTAAATTTCCTGTTCTATGTGGATAGACAATCCCTCGCATTATGGGGAAAAAATCCTTTATTAGTGGAAGGGATACTAGGGGCTCAATGCTCAGCTATCCCTCCCAGTCTACAACACTCACCCAACATCCCTGCCACTCCCCCACTCAGCATCCCTCCCTTTAGCTCTCCCAGCCAATCCTGTCTCCCACACATCAGCTACTCTCCTTGCCTAACATCCTTGTTTATCTAACTAGATTTATATCTTGGGGTCTGGGCTCTTCAAACAGAAAGGTGGTTTTTTTCTTTTCTTTTTTAAATTCCCAAGCCTTGGGGATAGCTTTCCAGGAGGGCTGGTTTTATACCTGTCTGCTTGGGGGAAACGGCTACTCAGAGTGTGCAGTAGAAACTGGGGAACATGACTCACACTAAGATATCCTGTTTGCATGAAGGCGCTTTCAGTAAACAAAGAAAAGGGTGGGTGGGGCAGTGTAAGATGACACACTTGTTTGGGGGAATTTCCAATAGTCACCATACATGATGTATCACTGTATTTTCTCACTATGTTTATAGGATTAGGTCAAAAAGAAGAATAAACAATCCATTTTGCATTCCATCTATTATTAATAATTCTTTACATAAATAAAAACAAAAGATTTAGAGAGAGCTCATTATTAATAAAGTTTAACAAGGTGTACATAAACAAAGGCCAAGTCCTGCAATGTGCTAGCTGTGTGTAAAAGAATCTGACATGTAGGATGCAAGCTACTTTGGATATTAAATATCCAGATACAGTATTGATAGCAGTACCTATGAGTAGTCAGGTGTAGTTACAATATTATTGGCCAGCTTCACTTACAACATGTTGGATTACGCCAGGCTCTTACTACATTTAAAGTGCATTTTGACGGTTATAGGATCTTTCGAAACGGGGCATTTCTGTCAAAAGATCCCCGTCTTGACCATGTTTTTTTCCCAAAAAGTGGCTTTTCGAAAAAAAGCTGTGGCCGCCATTATGGAAATTCAAATCTGGGCTTCATTTACAATTTCAATATGTCTAATTTATCGAAAAAGGGATGTAAGTTAGATGTACCCTGAGACACAGGACTGGTGGCTGTAAACAACTCTATGGGACCACAGGAAATTTGGCCACACCTATGAAAAGTGGACATCTGGCTAACTAAAATCATGCCAGATCACAGATGTTGCCAGACCAGAGAACGCCATACTAGAGAGTTTCAACCTGTACTGAAGAACTTGAACAATACATCTACATTCTGTATGGAAATATATTTATGAATATGTATTTATATAACTGGAAAATGCTTAATGC